TGGATTTGATCAGTGTTTTCCGCAAAAGCATCTGGAAAATTTCTGTTCAGGTCATAGCCTTTTGCATTTGTCCTAAAAAAATAAATAAAAGTTTTACCTTATAAAAAAAATGAAGTAAAGATTAGATCACCATAGATTGTACGCCCCTTGAGGGATAGGGCCAGTAAACCATATGGTCCATTGTTGGTATCCATGGTAGGAATAGTACCCTATCGCTGGTGTCATTAAGAGGATTTTTTCCCCTTCATTGGTGACAGTGGGAGGATATATGCCCAATTGCTAGTGTCAGTTGGAGGAATAGTGCCCCATCATTGGTGTCAGTGGGAAGAACTGTATCCCATCATTGTTGTCATTGGGAGAAATTGTGTCCCATTGTTGGTGTCATTGGGAAGAATTGTGCCCTATCCTTGTTGTCATTGGCAGGAATTGTGTCTCAGTGTCATTGGGAAGAATTGTGCCCCATTATTGATATAATTGGGAGGAATTGTGGCTTTTCACTGGTGCCAATGGACATATGCCAAATTGTTGGTGTCAGTGGATGAAATAGTGTTTCAAGGGACAGAAAAAAATCAAAGTTTGGAGACCACTGGTTTAGGGTTTGATGGCCCACTGTGATTAAACAAACTCTAAGTTCAACAAGAAACGTAGCTCCCCATGCAGGGGTTTCCACATCAAAATGCAAAAATGCATCAAATCACAAAATGCAAAAATAATAACAAAACTACAAAATGCATAAACAGCAACCTAAATTGAATCAATATTTGTCCACTTTAAAACAGCATTAGTACTCCGAATACACTTACACATAGTGTTTTAGAGGGTTCAGCAGGTAGGATGATCCATATATCTAATGGAACTAACCACAGTTCAAGGGGTTTAGGCTGTCCCAGTTGCTTATGTCTCTTCACGTAATATCAAACAGACTCACTCATGTTGAAATCAGGAATCTATGGGGGCCAAACGATCACTTCCAGGACTCCATGTTCTTCTTTTTGTTAAAAATAACATGGTAGAAGGAAGCTTATACCATGCTTTACTGTTGTCTGCAGACACTCATCCTTGCACCGCTCTCAAGGCTCTTGGCAAACGAACTCTGTTGTCTCAATCTCTTTATCCATTTTATAAGGGAAATATCAGGGGACCCCTAATATTACACTAAAGCCAATCAACAGTACTGTAACTATAAATAAATACAAATAAATATTTCTTCTTATTATATAATGATTTAACCACTTGCTGTCCAGCCTACAGTACCTTTACTGCAAGTGGGTGGCATGTTCAGGCACAGCGAAGTACCTGTATGCCATGTTGTCATTCACACTAGTGCACCCCCTGGGGTGCTCAGCGTCACGATCCTGTGCCTCATGGTGCTTGGTACCCCGCCGCACTGAGTGGCCAGGGTATCATGTGTTCCCCATGACCAATCATAGTGATCACATGATAACAATGTAAACAAACTGTCACGAATAGACCTCATTCATGAATAGCTTGCTTACCACTGATTGTCCCACTGCAATCACATGTTACAAAGCAATTCACAGCAGCCTTGTACCATGTGATACCTAATAGTAAGCAAGCTGTCATGAATTAAAGCTGTCTATGTCTATGTTCCCATCACACACTTTTCTGGAAACAGGGCTCATCAGTAGGGGGGCTTCAGTGACTACCAGCTGGATACTGGACACATCACGGATCAATGCACATATTTACCAGCACACCATGGATCTTCAAATATTTTCCAAAGCTTTTATTGCAGAAAGATCACATCACAAAAGAACAAGTGTCAGAGCCACGCAGGACCCCTCTGACATATGGCTGAGGACGGGGTCCTGATAGGCTCCAAAACATTGCACTTGTTCTTTTATGATGTGATCTATCTGCAATAAAAGCTTTGGAAAACATTTAAATATCCATGGTGTGCTGGTAAATATGTGCATTGATCCGTGAATTAAATTAATTCATACCAGTTAAAAGGATTGCTTATAACAGTGTAAAAAAAAAATCCCTGATCACCCCTCCAGAGTAGTACAGTGTCATTATGGTGACACTCAACTACTCTGACAAAAGTATGTAAAAACAAAAAGTTTAAAAAATTTAATAAAAAATTAATATTTTTTTTAACATACTGTCACCAATCAGTATCCCTGATCACTGTCACACCCAACATATGATGACGCTGCACTGAAATGGTGACAAAAAAAAAAAAGAAAATAAAAAATTTAAAGAAAGGAAAAAAGCGTAAAAAAGAAAAAAATTGTAAAAAAAAAGTTTTTTAATTTCATTCCAAAAAATTGTGACAAAAAATTCACAACTTAAAAAAAAACTCACAATGCCTCCTAATGAATACTTTGGATTGTCTACTTTGCAAAAAGGGGTCATCTTGGGGGTATACACTCACCAGTCACTTTCTTAGGTACACCCTGTTCAATTGCCTGGTAACACAAATTTCTAATCAGCCAATTACATGGCAGCAACTCAATACATTTAGGCATCTAGACGAGGTGAAGACGACTTGCTGAAGTTCAAACTGAGCATCAGATTGGGGATGAAAGTGGAATTAAGTGACTTGGTTGTTGGTGCCAGATGGGCTGGTCTGAATATTTAAAAAATTGCTGATCACCTGGGATTTTTATGCACAACCATCTCTAGGGTTTACAGAGAATGGTCCAAAAAAGAGAAAATCCAGTGAGCGGCAGTTGTGTGGATGAAAATGCCTTGTTGATGTCAGAGGTCAGAAGAGAATGGGCAGACTGGTTTGTGATGATAGACAGGCAACAGTAACTCATGTCAATATGGATCAAAATCTCTGAGGAATGGTTCCAGAACCTTGTTGAATCTATGCCACGAAGAATTAAGGAAGTTCTGAAGGTAAAAGGGGGTCAAACCTGGGACTGGCAAGGTGAACCTAGTAAAGTGGCAGCTGAGTGTATGTACTGACCCGACATTTTAGGACCTCATGAAATGCAATAAGCTGCCAGTACATCCGGAATGATCAATTTTCAATTATATTGTATATGCCATAGTTTGTAGACTTCATGACTTTCACACAGACTAAATAATATACACTGATTTGGATTATTTTTACCAAAGAAATGTAGCAGAATACATTTTGGCCTAGATTTATGAAGAAAGATTATTTGCTTGCAACATTTTATATAGAAACAGAAAAGAAAAGCATGTTTTTGTTTTATTTCTGTATTTTTTAGTTTATAAAGCACAAAAAAAATTTCATTTGGGTACAGTGTTGCATTACTGAGCAATTGCCAGTAAAGTAGCACAGTGCTGGATAGCAAAAAATGTCCTGGTCATGAAAGGAGTAAAACCTTCTGGAGTGCAAGTGGTTTAATATTACCCCTGGTTCACATATATGTGGCTGTGCGGGCCGTGTTTTGCACGGGCACGAGAGCCCATTCATGTGAATGGACTGCCATGCCCGTGACATGCAGGGAAGAAGTACAGTTGCATTTTCCAGTGCGGGCGGCATGCCATTAGAACTAATCGCACCCGCCCGCAGGTCTGCATTTCTCTGTGCAAGTGGTGCGGATGCACAGATTTTTGTGCGGATCCGCAGCGGCACCACCCACACAGATGTGAACCTAGCCTTACATTTTGTACACGTGTACCATTATAGTGCGCATCATGCTTGTGTGCTGGTGTGCGTTGTTACAATGCAATGCAGTGCTTAATTTTTTTTCTTTTTTCACTTTTTTTAAATGACATTCATTTAACTGTATTCTTAGCAGTTCATGGTGACACACTGTTGCGCGTTACAAGCCATATTTTGTCTGCCTCGTTTTGTGACAATGCACACCAACACAGTGTACTGCACACACGGCACTTCAGATTGGGTGTTATCATAATGCATAGATGTCAGGCCAGCCTCCAGATTTCTAGTATAAGATGCTTACTTACAGTTTTGCATACGTTCTATTTTCACCATTTTGCAAAACGGCAGAATTTTACAATTACAAATAATTATTGCCATTTTGTGAATTACATTGTTTTTGTGGGTGCGCTAATTACTTTTAGTGTTATTTTAATTGAAATTATTGTTTTGATAAACATATGCACAACTGGGGATCTTTTACAAACCATGAAAGCTGTATGTGAAAAATGGGGGGGGGGGGGGGGCGGCAGTTAAAATTTGCAAAAATGGTCTAGTCAGCTAAGACTAAGCCCTGGTTCACACTGATGTGGTACGGAATTTGCAGCGTTTTCTGTGCGAATTCTGCACTGCATCAGAATCGCACCCCGTTCATGCAAACCGCTGCGGGTGTGTATGTTAAGTTAATAACTCCCCGAAAGCAGTCCGCAAAACGCAGTGCGATATGCAGAATCGGATAGCATAGGCGTACATACATACCCATGTGATCCAATTCTGGTGTGGACCAAAAAAAGGGTCCTGCACCTTTTTGGTGCAGGTGCGGTGCGATTAGAGCCATACAAGATGTATGGCTCCAGTCACACCGCACACAAATCGCATGTGATTTACATAGGAATGCGGTGCAGTTCCTGTGCGAATCACATGCGATATACCGCACCGCATATATGTGAACCCAGGCTAAAAGTGGAGAGCAGGGCCTAGCTGTGAAAGGATTAACAGCACGTCCTAAAGTACCTGGGTTCCCCAAATTTCTGCCTGTGTGTCACAATGAACTGCCAAGAATACAGTTAAATTAATGTTATTTAAAAAAGTAAAAAAAGAAAAACATTAAGAGAACTTGATGCAGTGAGACCACCTTGAATCTTCTTGCTGTGTCCTAGTGTACGTTGGAGCATTGATGCTATTTTAAAAGCAAAGGGTGGACACCAAATATTGATTAGATTTACTTTTTTTTTTTTACAATTTACAATTTTTTTGTTTATGTACCTGGTAGTTTGTTAATTGACATATAAAATCTATTAGTTTCATTATTTTTGCAAGCTTCCTTCTATTACAGCATGTCTTCACAAGTGCCTAAAACCAGGCCATACAGAAGAACAGGAGCTCACACTTACCTTCCAGTTACGGAGTTACAGTCCCTAAGAGCTGAATTTTCGAAGCCATCTGGATTCATAGAAGGCATAATATGTATGCGGGTGTTCGTTATCATTTGTGTAATATTTGGATCAGATTGATAATTTGTTAGGAGGTATTCTATTAGGTGAAGCATCAGTTCTCTTCCAACTGCCTAGATTAAATGAGAACAATTGCAGAAAAACATATTAAAGTTTTTAAATGTTACTCCGCTTTCGTGGGAAAAATTATAGGAATTTAAAAAATATATAGCGTATACAACTGCTATGCAAGACACGTTGTAATTGAATGTTATTGAAAATGACCTTTCTGCTGTACATTTCTTTAAAGTTTAATGCCGTAAGTCAAACTGGAGGCATTCTGTACACCATTGGTATATAGAACGCCCCTGTAAATGTCATTTTCTACTTGTGCAGTTGGCTAACTGGTTTTTCCTAGACATTTGCACTAAGATATAAGTTACATTGTGGGTATCCTCTGCAATAGGAGTTTCAGGTAGATACTGCCCATGCTTTTCTCATCAGAGCACTAAGGCCCCTTTCAGACAGGGCAGCCCGTCAACGGATCCGCCTGCTCAGTGGGGGATCTCTCCAATGATCCCCACTGAGCAGGTGGATGATAGGTCTGTATCCACTCCACTGCTACATAGCGAACACAGACAGTGCCCGCTATCCTCTAGGACAGTGGTTCTCAACCTTCCTAATGCCGTGACCCTTTAATACAGTTCCTCATGTTGTGGTGACCCCCAACCATAAAATTATTTACCCAGTAATTATAATTCATGAGTGTTGTTTTACCTCCAATACTGCTGCTTTCAACACAGTAGCTGCTTTTAACAGAGTAGCTGCTTTCAACACAGCAGCTGCTTTCTACACAGTAGCTGCTCTTTACACATTGGAAATATGTGTTTTCTGATGGTCTTAGGGGACCCCGTGAAAGGGTCGTTCGACCCCCAAAGGGGTTGCGACCCACTGGTTGAGAACCACTGCTCTATGAGGCCTGTCCGTTTTCCATCCAACTGCCATACAATCCGAACAGCCAGACAGATAAGGAATGGATCCCCATCCATCTGTTTTTGGTGTACAGGATCGAATTGGATGTCGGCAGGTGTCAGCAGACACTTGTCCCCTGACACCCACCACTCCATAGAGGTCTATGGATGGTCCGATCAGGTCCACCTGAAAAACTGACAGGTGGACCCAATCGGACCGTCAATGTGAAACGGGCCTAAGAGGTAGTTACTAAAACTGGGATACTCAAAATCTAGTGCAGCTGTGCATGGTAGCCAATCAGCTTCTAACTTCAGCTTGCTCATAAAGCTTTGATAATAAAACCTGGAAACTGATGGGTTTCTATGCTGAGCTGCATCTAAATGCAGATCGCTTTTCAGGCATTTAACAGATGGTGAGGAGGCAATGTGACACTTTCTCACCACCTGTTTTAACCCTCTACTTGGCAGGAGTGATGTTTTTTGCATGAAAACTCCTTTGTCGCTACCTTTGCAGCTTAAAGCAGAACTACACTGCATCAGAGCACCACTAACAAAAAGCACTATTTAATTCATTTTTAATATTTAAAAAAAAACTCTCCCTTATCTATCCATGATTCGATAAATTATTTTTGCTGAGAAATCACTTTGAAAAAACATCTCCGTAGCATTTCTGGTTGTAGCCATCTTGAATAAGGGCAGATGATTCATGTAGCATTTACTTTCTGGAATTCATCTGCCCTTAGCTCAGGCATGCAGGCAGGAGGGTGTGCTTAGCTGAGAAGACCTCTCCTCCCCTCCTGAAGACTCATGGAATGTATGGCATCATCTGCCTAGACATGTAAGAAATGTAAAATAAATGTTCAAGGCCCCATGTACATGGGACACTTCTGAATGATGGAAACTGACTGCTGGAAAATTTAGGTTAAAAAACATCTGTTTAGCTGAGTTTGCATAATGCGTTTATGCGCGTTTATGTGCATTTGCGTTTAGAAGCGTTTTTTTAAAGATAAGCACAGGAGAACCTCCCAAATGCCCAGAATGCACTGAAAAGTGGTAAATTATTAACTATTTCAGACTGTTTCAGAGAAATACAGAGAGTAGAAGCAGAGACAGCAGTACGTGTTGAGATAAGCTTAGGTGTGAATTGTCATTAACATTTATTTTGTTTCCAAGGGTGGGAAAGGTGTCTGGTAGAGTCATTCAGGTCACTTGGCAGGGCATCTGCATGAGGAATTTGAGGTGTGAATGGTCATTAACATATCTTTTGTTTCCAAGGGTGGGAGAGGTCTGAGGTGTGAATTGGTCATTACAATGTGTGACAAGCTTGGTAGGAACATCCTGTGTTCAGTGTTTTGTTCCTTTGAGTACCTTGAAAATGCTTTGCATGATTTTTCATGATGAAAAAAGGCTCTGGACAGCATCAGGAACTGGAAGAGTTAAAAAAAAATTCAGACGCAAACGCTTATAAACGCGATTTGCTGCATTTAGTCAAGTTTACAAGCATTTTTTTGTTTGAAACGCTGATAAAATCGACTGCTGAATGCAAGTTTTCTGCATTCAAAAATAAGACTGTAAACTCAAATGCCTGTAAATGACTGTAAATGAAGATGTGTACATGGACACATAGGAAAACATTAGGGAGAGTTCAGGGGCTGCTGAAAAAAACGCTGAACAGCTCCTAAATGTGAGTTTATCAGCTGCAGTGTACATGAGCCCTAAAAGAAGTAAACATGATATCCTTTCCTTTCTATTTACTAATGCTAGCAGAACAAGGATTAAAAATAGTCAATGTTGATTGCGTGAAGTTATGCTTTAAGGTAGGTGGCTAAGTGGGCACTAAAAACGTGGCTTAAGCACCCCCCCCTGCCGAAATGCAAGTTTTAAGAGCTGAGTATAGTGAACCAAACCCTGCCATTCAGAATCAGTTGGTAAAGGATGTGGTTAAACAAACAGCTATTTCTTTCAGAGCAGTAAAATTCCTGCAATGCACACTGGTTACTAAAGATGGCCACGACCAAAATTCAGCCAGTTCAGCAGGAACCAGCTTCATTTTGAACCATGTGATCGATCTACTTCTGTTGAACAAACTTGTTGGAAAAGAGCCAGGAAGTGTGTCTCCCCCCCGCTGTCAGAATACAATAGCACAGCGGAGAGGATTCCCACATCTTCCTCAAATGTCTGAATGGGGGAATCCGTTCAGTTTTTTTCATTCAGCCCGCTGGCTGAATGAACAAAAAAATGAGGCAAGTATAGCCAGCTTTGGATTGATTTTTCTTTTTTCTCAACAACAGTGGAGTTACTTGAGTAGTCTTGTCATCTATACACAACAGCACATTAGCTCCATATCTGAACAAATGTAAACCGTATGTTAAAGCTGAATTCCACACAATCCTTATTCCCTTCAATGGGGTCACAAAAAGCAAGAAAATACTAATTTTTTAATGAAGATTTTTGAAAGAAGTCCTAGACCAAGGGTGGGCAACCTGCAGCTCTCCAGCTGTTTGCAGCTCTACAAGTTCCATCATGCTTCTGCAAGTCATAGCTGTAACTCAGTTTTGCAAAGAGACCTGTAGAGTCATGTTTGTAACTTCCGGTCTTTGCAATGCCTCATGGGAAATGTAGTTCCACAACAGCTGGAAAGCTGCAGTTTGCACACTCCTGTTCTAGAGGTTAGTTGTAGTCAGACCTGCTTCCCTCCCTCCAATGGCACTTCCAGAACCTGCACTTTAGCTGTACCAGTGACTATTCACAGGTGTCAAACTGGAGGCCCTCCAACTGGTGCCAAACTACAAGTCCCATGAGGCATTGCAAGATTAAGTATTACAAGCATGACTCCCATAGGTAGAGGCATGATGGGACTTGTAGTTTCACAACAGCTGGAAGGCCACCAGTTTGAGACCCCTGAATTTAGCTGATAACCAGAGAAGGAACTCTAAGAAAATAATTTCTTTGGATCTGTGTAAAGCCTTGTACACATGATGAGAATATCGGATGAATGATCGTCCGTTTTTATTTGTTTTTTGCATGCATCGCATATCGCAAATGAAGAGGTTAGTAAAGTTACACAAATTCTCATACGGCAGAATACAACTTTGGAAGTGATTTAATGTATTGTATTGTATTATAAAGTATTCATTTCTGAGCATGCGTGGTCTTGGTCACTAGACTTTTTACAGATGAATTTTGTTCTGATTACACAAAAATCGTTCGTTCTGCTATCGTACGAGAAAAATGTTAGTGCTTGTCCCTTTGGATAATTTTGCATGAACTGTCGTGATCGACTCTTGAAAGCTGTGTACTAATGATCAGATTATCGGATGATCGCTGAAAGCAGTATTTTCCATCAGATTTTCTCATCGTGTGTACTAGGCATAAAGAATTGGGCAGAAGAACAGAAACATACCTCATTGCCATGCATGTTTGCAACGTACTTGAACTCAGGAATTCCAACTGTGTGTGTGGTTGGATGTAATCCCACAACCAAAACCCACAAGTCTCTGCCTTAAAGAAAATAGAAACATACGATATTAAAATGCATAATGAACAGCTTGTTTTATCAGTTACTGGAAAGAAGTCTGCTCTAATGTATCCAATACATGTAATTCATTTATCCAAGATTAAAGAAAGGATAGATTTCATGGACATTCTTCAAGAAAAATCCAAATAACCAATATTTTTTTGCCCTTTAACTTCGATCTTGACAATTTAGCTGGAGCATCAGGGGGTCAGAAGTTACCTAAAGCTGACTATACATAAAATTCGATCAATCCAGCAGTCCGCTCTGTCATCCAAATTTGTATTCTTCACACCTGGAGCAGAACTAAACAGTGTTTTAACCTGTTGCGTGCGTAACATATATGTGTGGTGGCAAAAGGGTGGGCTTAAGCTGCACACTTCCAGCACAGAGACTGAGCTGTCAAAGACAGCTCTTGGTCCTCACTAATAATTGGTAGCTGGTGGGAAAGACTCCTGATCATGTGGCCTCTGTGACAGCCAATCACAGTGGTCACATGATTGCCAATCCTTCCCCTCCCAGGCATTCAGAACTTTTTAAAGGGGTGGGTGGAAAAGGTTTAAATGCATTAAAGGATAAGTTCACCTTTGAAACATGTTACATGTTCCACCTGTTTTTAGGGCCAGTTCACACTATAGAAATGCAGTCCGGATACATTCCGGATGCGTTTTTGCATGAGCATTTTGCCGCATTTGTGGCGCGTTTTTGATGCGTTCCAGTGCATTTTTTTATGCTTTCCACTTCATTTTTTCATCTCCCTTTTTCTTCAATTTAAATAGGTACATGTGCATTCCAGTGCATTTTACCGCGTTCCTGTACAGTTCTGTGCAGAAAAAATGCAACCTTGTTCTACTTTTTTTTATGCACCCGGAACACACTGGAACTGCAAGCACTGATGTGAACTATGACAATGACGACCATATAAACCTACTTTCTGTGCATTTTGGACGCAACCAAAACACATGTAGTGTGAACCAGGCCTTAGGGTGGAACATGTAACATGTTCCCATAGCCGCAGGCATGCCCCCCCAACAGATAGTATGGGGAGAAGTTTCCCCGTACTATCTGTCAGATTTGAAAACAGCGCAGCCATGCAGGGCTCCGCCCACACAGCAGCATCACTCATTCACAGAGTTCTGTGAATGAGTGCCTACAAGTACCAGCAGCCTTAGCGGCTGTGGGCTTGTAGTTTTCTGTGAACTACCACTGTACTGTGGAGCGCCATGGTAGTTAACTGAAGCTTCCTGTCAGTATATCTGCTTGCTTGTACATCCCGTACGGCAAGCAGATATTCTGGCAGATCTGCAGGAGACCTGCATTGCATTAGTGATCTACTGATTTCCAGTGGAATGCTTTCCAGGATCCCGCAGGTAAAAATAATAAATGCACATTTTTTTACCTGCAAAAAAATTGTTTTTGTCCAAAAAGGTGAACTTATCCTTTAGGTCGCCATTCACATCTGACTACACCTGATTAGGCTTTATTTGCTGAATCCCATTATTTGTAAATCAGTGATGAGTCACTTGTACATGCGGAGTCCTACACTAGGGTTGCTTTCTCATCCCTTTAAAACTGATCACATATTAAATACACAGGTTCTGAGGCTAATTTAATACAGATAAGGCACTAGGTGAGTTTAATCAGCCGGAGAACCTGTGTTCTGTTTTAAAGGGATAAGGTGGCAAACAGGGGCGGACTGACAACTCATGCGGCCCCCGGACAATAGGGGATCATGGGGCCCCTGTGTCCTTGCCCAAACTAAAAAAAGCCTATGAAAAAGGTATCAGGGGCATCTCATGGGGCCCCCTACTGACCCCGGGCCCTCGGGCAGTTCCCGAGTTTCCAAATGGTCAGTCCACCCTTGGTGGCAACCTTATCCTACACTCAAATATATGAGAGTGATCAGGTGTTTTTGGTCTCAGACTTCAATTCAAGTGCCTGTAAACATGAGATATGTGTATTTTTGCATGCTTTTTTTTTGCACCTAAAAAACAAACAAACCTAAGAAACAAACACCTGAAGCGTCATAAAAGAACAAAACACTTGCCTATAACAAATGCCCCAAAAGAAATCACCATGAATATGTTCTGCTACGATGTGAACGGAGGTTAAGAAAAATGCTAAAATGCTTTGAAAATGCTTGCTACAGCCAACACTGTTTAGAAGCTAATGTTGGCCATACATGGTTCGAATTCTGAACGATTTTTCATCCGAAAATCGAAACGTCGTTCGTTCTGTAATCCGATGGTGCCACTAATGATTTCGAAAATAGGTTGTTTTTCACGCATTTTCCAGCATGCCCGATAAACGAAGTGGGAAGGAACCACGAAAATCGGCCGATGCCATTGCCCCACTATCAGAGCAAAAATTGTCTGATTATTCTTAGATCCGATTATCGTACGAAAATCGTTCGGAATTCAAACCATGTATGGCCTGCATTAGGCCTCATGCACATAGGTGGTTTGGCCCATCAGTGTAAAATCCTGGCATTTTTGTGCGCTCTGGAGAAGCTGCCACCAGCCTGCCAAAATCTACTAAGGGCTGAAATATGTGATGGCTGGATGGTGTACAGAGCGACACTCACATTAACCCTAGGTTCACACCTATGCAATTGCATTTGATCCATTTCTGCTGTGCTTTTCGGGGTGTGTTTTTGGGGTTTTTACACGCATTTTAATGCGTTTTTGATGCGTTTTTGATGCAGTTTTGCGTTTTGTTTTCACAATTTGGTTGGCCAATAGAAAAAGACACTGGTTTGATGTCAGAAGATGTCAGACTGCATTTTTTTACTTCCCTGTCTGTAATCTGTGCATGCTGCAGATTTGACACCATCATGGCTGCAATGTCTTTATTCCTGTCAATTGTCACATTGATAGCAGGAAGAGGAAGAAGAGGAATACAGAAGAAGATGCAGATACTGGATACATCCGGAGATAGCCATCAGACAGCAGAGAGGACAATTTTGGATCACATATGTTATTATGTATACATGTGTACATATTATGTATACATTACATTATATATTATATATGTATACATTATATATTATGTATACATGTATGTTAGAAGTGAAGCATGTTAAAAACGCAAAACGCATCAAAAACACACAAAACAAAAAAAAAAGCATGTAAATTGCAGCACTTGCGTTTTAGCTGCGGTTCCATTGAAGTCTATTGGACAAAAACCGCAAACCGCAGCAGGAAAAGAAGTCCCTGACCCTTTCTAAAAAACGCGCCCGCAAAACACGCACAGATGTGAACGTGATCCATAGGAAATAATGTTAAATGGCATGCACCGTGTTCCTGCAAAACGCATAAAAAAGTGGATATGTTAACCAGACGTAAGGGTTGTATGCACTCACGGCCGTATCCCCTGATTACAGGATTCGTGGGATTTGACAATGAAAGGCCAAACTGCCCGTGTGCATGTAACCTAATACTGACTAGAGATGAGATGTTTTTATTCAGACATCTCCAGAAGGTGGCACTCGTGCCTTATGTTCCTTGAGAGGATCAGGGTCAGTTTAGAAAAAAGTTAGAGGGTAACGTATAGAAATTAATTACATAAATGTATATTGGAGAGTAAAGTAATTATATCTAATTATACAAATCATATCATTAAGTTGCCAGAATTCGTAACAGAGGCTGATGTTTGACAGCCACTCCAAAAGCAACTGGCAGAAGGAATAAAATATTACGAGAAGAAATCTATACAACAAGCCTACTTGCACTTTAAACATTCAAGTGGACCTTTCACTTCAAGCGATGTGGTCACCCTTCCTTCGATCGGTAATAAACCCAAAAGCAAACATTTATTACAACACCGCTTACTAATTCTTAGATGCAATAACTTCATTAGTTTTCATTTTTAGGATTTCTTTCTTTTATTTTTATCTGGTGATCTAGCCAGATAGGCAGGCCATAGACGGGCCGTTTATCGGCCAAAAACAAAAAATCGGTCGGCCCCGTTGCCGATGCTGCCACCCATGTCCACGAAAAACGGCTGTTTTTTTTGTGGATTTTCCAACATGACCGATAAAAATAAATGAGGAGTTCCGTGAAAAACGGCCGATGGGCTGGCCCCACTAATGATGTGATTATCGGACGATTTTTTGTGTGGACGAAAATTCGGCCGATAAACGACCTGTCTATGGCCTGCATAAGTCTGTTGTTTTGCAAAAGAACACGCTCTCCTGCAGATGTATCAGTTACAGGATTAGGACAAACCATTTACTACTGATAGGTTTGCTTACAATGATCAGCTTATTCATGTAAAACTTTTATCCCAAAAGGAAAAAAAATGTTTGCTATAACTGATTGTAAAGTGTTAGCTGGATTTTGGCTTCAATTTGTTAGTGTATTTAAGTCTGCTTGTACATCTAACAAACTGAAAATGCTGCTGTGTGCTGTGTCCCGGGTACTACTTCATCCAGAATGGGGGCACTCTAATACAGGAGGTATATTACTGGCCAGATCACCAGGTGAAAACAGAGGGAAAAATATTAAAAAAGAAAAACTAATGCAGCCACCACATCTAATGATTGGTAAGCTGCAACATTAAATTTTTTGGTTTTGACTTTAATACTGTTTTCATCTCAACATGAAAGTTCAGAAAGGAACCTGGCCATACACACTTTGACCAGACAATATCTGGTCAGTGAGTGGCCCTGTTCCATTTGACAAAAGTCAACTTTTGACATAAAGGCCTGCTACATCATTATCGGCTGAACAGCTGGAGTCAGCTGTCAAAATATAATATGAATTAAATTATTATTATTATTACTATTATACAGGATTTATATAGCGCCAACAGTTTGCTCAGCACTTTACAATATAAGGGAGACAATACAGCAACAATACAGTTCAATACAAGAGGGATAGGAGGGCCCTGCTCCTTGGAGCTTACAATCTAAGAGGTATATATCTATATATTATTATTATACAGGATTTATATAGCGCCAACAGGAGCACTTTATATAATACAGCAACAAACAGTTTAC